ATCTCGTTAGCGTGAGGCCTCTGGATTAATGGCCACGTGATGCTATCACTACATCTCCCCTCGAGAATCTCGAGCTAGGGTGTTTATTGTCAGTCGGTTGGCCACATGGATTTGCAGTGTGCAGTTTTCCGATGCTGACATTGTCTAGCGTCAGCCAGTGACTGCACAAATTCAGGAGTAATGCAGTCATTGTCTGGGATGTTCCTAGCCCATAAAAACTGTGACGTTAATGCTATTTTGTCTGGTCAGGATTATTCAAAAGCTTTGTTTTTTTCTGTGTTGAGGAATGGGCGTCTCTCTATCTGAGCCATGATAGTCAAAAGGTACCATCTGAATTCTGGCAAACTGCTAGTCTCCCCTCTAAAAGCAACTTGCATGATGCCCAGTTAATGGCCTAGTATTGGAGGAGGCACTGACTGTACAGGAAGGGATCTAACACAACCTTGGCAAGTGGATGATTTCAGCTCAAAATGCTAGAGATCCAAATTCTTTCTTTCTTCTGTGCTTTTGGCACACAATGAGGGTGACTGCTTGGATCCTATACTCCGCACTTCTGAATCTGACCCTATGTTCCTCAACCCCTCTGTCCCACAGCATGATTAATTGCCTGAGGGAGCAGGGGTATTTGAAGCATTTCGCTGTGGGTAAAGATGACTGTGTTACTCCGGGTGGATGTCCACGCTTGCCGTTGGAAGTGTGGATGGGTGAGCAGCTGGTGCGCTTGTTTGCTGCAAGTGTGCTGGGTGGGCCTGTGTGGCTGTGTTTCTGGGCGGGCAGGGCCTGCAATCGAAGTGAATTCCCACCCTGCTGCTGTGCGATGTTGTGTTTTATTTTCTTGCAAGTGCTGCTGCTGTTACCTGAATGTCTCGGGTGGCTGGGTGGGACGGGATTTGGGACTGGAGGTCTGGAAACGTTTTCTCTTACTCATTCTTCTTGTCCGCAGCTGGCAAAAGATTTGCTACATCCGTCTCCCGAGGAGGAGAAGAGGAAACACAAGAAGAAACGTTTGGTGCAAAGCCCTAACTCTTACTTCATGGATGTCAAATGTCCCGGTGCGTATTCCCTCCCTGATCTGTGTTGGGGTGGCTGTGGACCCTGTAAGGCATGTTACCAGCTCCTTGGTGTTTCATCACTGGCCAAATAGAACACTTGGCACCAGTGTTACCTGTGATTTATTTATTTTTTTCCTTTTCCTGCTGCTGGAGTCTGTGCACAGCACTGACGTCTGCTTGCAGAGGTCCAGGCATCGGTGTACCAGTCGGTCCATGTGGAACCTCAGTGGCTCTGCAGTTTACTGGGGAATGTTTATTGGGACCAGGCTGGTCCCGTTCTGTCTGCATTCAGGCAACGGTTGCAAATTAACATCGCTGACCTCTGATCAGTTCCTCACTAGAATGTGGCAAACATTCAAAATGTCCATCGCATTGCCGCTAGAACTGTGGCTGTTCTGGGAGTGTTTGATTGTCCCAGTGTAGAGGGGAGTTTTACTCTGTATCAAACTCCATTCCATGTCTGTGCCTGGTTTGTTCCTGTAAGTACGTGCCTAAAATGGGGACAACATTCCTTTCCATACCTAATATTCTCATCATGCGTGCATGTAAATTTTAATTCTATACATATTTGATGTAAATAGTTTTCAAATACTCGTTTGCTATGTTTTGAAAGGTTTGTTCCTGCTTGTTATTTCTTAGGTTGCTACAAAATCACTACAGTGTTCAGCCACGCACAGACTGTCGTGTTGTGTGTCGGGTGCTCCACTGTACTTTGCCAGCCTACTGGTGGAAAGGCCAGGCTAACAGAAGGTGAGTGCAGGCTGCCTGGTGCCTATCGTTATCGCCTCCAGTACACATCCAGAAACCCCTCAGTACAGTAAAGTGACTGAACGAGACCTGGAAATGGGCAGGGGACGGACATGGCACCCAATCCCCTCACCATTGTGCCACCTAGTGTTATTTCCTAAAGCTGTTACCTATCTTGCAGTGGAAGGTTGATTGCTGGAAACGTGAGGGAGCATATAATTCCTGCTTAGGAACTGGGAGATCGCTCGTCTACTGCCTCCACTGTTTTTTTAAAAAAAAATTGAATTAGGAAAGAAACAAAGGAGAGAAGCATGTGGGAAGGAGCTGTAACAGTGGGGATAAGAAAGAAAACGTTCGGTCAGTTTGGACAACTGATGCTGTGCTGCACTGGGACTGGTTTCAACTGTCAATTAGATTGAATTCACATTACTGTCCAGAAATGACTAAAATGCTAAGCTGGAATGTTCAGAAAAATAGCAACTTTAAGGCAGTATGAGTTGAGTGTGGAGGTTGACGCAGAAACTGTAGCATGTATGAAAAATTAATTTCCTCCTTCACAAGAAGGGATCTGAAGTTATTTGGCTTGAGATGAAGTTGGGGCAGGCTTGTGGCAGCCCTGACTTGGAACAACTCAGATGATCTTAGTGGGGGTGACTAGACTTACCTAAATTAAAACCATACAGTTATCTATAAGCGTGTAGATGCTGGGTTGTACCAGAGCCTCGATGCTGTGTTGAAAAATGTGTAGGAGTCAAAGCTCGAGGGTACAGGTCATTGGAACAGTTGTGTTGCATTTGTGCCTTTCCTGACTCTCTACAAGGGTAACTGTCCCTGTCCCAGTCCCACTCTCCCATCCTTTCCCTGTATCCTTATGATACTTCTTTTCAAGGTTGATTACTTCTGGAGTACTGCATTCAATCCTGCTCTCCCTGCTATAGGAACGATGTTGGTGAAACTTGAAAGGGTTCAGAAAAGATTTACAAGGATTGTCATCATAGAATCCCTACAGTGTGGAAACAGGCCCTTCAGCCCAACAAGTCCACACCGACCTTCTTTCTCTGCGTGCTGTCTCCAAAGCTGCTACACCCTTCTGAAAGTGGGATGCCCACAGAGGTACGCAGCTGAGGCCCAACCACTGATTTATTACAGGTTCTCGGCTTCTGTACTCCTTACCCCTATTTGTGAAGCGCAGGAACCCTCGTGCCTACACCATCGCCTACGTCTACATCTTTCCCACCACCAAGATAGTCAATGGAGAACTCGGGGGAAGCTTTTTCACCCAGAGACTGGGGCAGATGTGAGGGTTGCTCCCAGGACAGTAATTGAGAGTAGTTGGTGAGAGTGGGTTGTGCCAATCTTTGATCAGCAATGGTAGCAGGAGGCTCATGGGGAGTGTAAGTACTGACAGTCTTTTATTTTAAATTAGTGCTGTATGTGAAGATTTATTTTGACTGTTCTCCAAGGCAGCATATCCATCTTCTAGTCTTTCTGCTCTCTCTCTCTCTACAGGCTGTTCCTTCAGAAGAAAGCAGCACTAAAATGAAAGTTGGCGTCTCAGGATGGGTGAGACTACCTGCACCGCTGGGCATCGGGAAACTGGCAAAGGGATATTGATTCACTTCCCTGAGATCTGGTTGGCAGGAGGAAGGAAATGTTGCTTGGTGGGGGGAGGCTGGTGGCGGAGGGGAGGTGTCATCACTGTCCTGTAGCCTTACCCATCTGGTTTATGTAAACTTTTTTGGACCTTCTGCTGGTATTGAGTTATTTGTTAGAATTGTCAAATAAAATGTTGTAACATCTTTGGTTTTTTTCTTTTTCTTTTTAAAAGAAAACCCGTGGCTTGTTTGCGAGTTTATACAGTCGATGGTAGGTGTGTCTGTGCCTTGGTTTGATGCCAGGGCAAGGAGAATATGTAACAAAAACAGACATTGCTGGAGAAACCCAGCGTCTGCGGAGAGAAAGCAGAGCTGATGTTTCAAATCCAGTGACCCTTCTTCAGAGGTTATGTCCGAGCTCCCCCAACTCACCGCCTCTGTCATATGTTAGTGTTCAACAGCTTGAATCTGGTGGCTCCTGGCTTCCTGGTCTGGTTTTCAAATTCCACTCCGGCAACTTCATTACAGGATTGCAACTGGCGCTCTCTGGTGCCAGATCTGAGGGCGTACAGTCCTGTTGGGAGGAGTCTGTTTTCTTTTAGATCAGATGATGAGCTGAGACTTGCTCTTCTGCCGTAGATTGTAAATTGTGGGTTTTGTTTTTAAAACGTTTTCAGCTAATGTGAAGCTGCTTCCAAATGCTGAGGCTCAGACAGCAGCCAGAATAATCTGAATTTTAGCCTGTTTGAGATCAGTTGAGGCAACGCAGACTTTGACATCAAACCCTCTGTGTCATTGTGCTGTTAACTGGCTGAATGGGAACATGCACCTGGAATGAAAACTGCCACAATGGAATCAAAAACAAGCAAAGGGACTACACCTGGGAAAACGGAAGCGATCAACGTCACGTATGCTCACGCCTTGGAAGACTGTGGGGAGAAACGGGAGAACAGTGGTGTCTTTAGGATACAGTGTAATCAGACAGCTGATCTGTAATAAAGACTGAAAGAATTGCGGATCTTGTAAATCAAAAACAGAAACAAATTGCTGAGAAAGCTCAACAGGTCTGGCAGCATCTGGGGAAAGAAATCAGTTGAAGATAGCAAGAACTGCAGATGCTGGAGTCAGACAACACTGTGGAGCTGGAGGAACACAGCAGACCAGGCAGCATCAGACAAGTAGGGAAGTCAACGTTTCGGGTCAGGACCCTTCTTCAGAAATGGGGGTGGGGGAAGGGAGCTGGGAAACAAATAGTGTGAGGAGGGATGGGGCTGGGGGAAGGCTGGTGGGATGGTGATGGGTGGATGCAGGTTGGGGGTAGTGGAGATTGGTTGGTGGGAAGGGTGGGGAAGAAGATAGACAAGTTGTTACAGGTCAAGGAGGCAGGGATGAGAGGGAGAGTGGACGTGGGATGAGGCCAGGGGGTGGGGAGATTTTAAAACTGGTGAATTCAATGTTCAGGCCATTGGGCTGTAGGCTCCTGAGACGAAATATGAGGGTTTGCTCCTCCAGTTTGCGTGTGGTGTTATTGTGACACTGGAGTAGGTGCAGGCTGGACATGTCACCAAGGGAGGGGGAGTTAAAAAGGTTAGCAACCTACAGAATCAGATGCTCAACAAAACAGTCCCCAAGTCTGCGCTTGGTCTCACCGATGTAGAGGAGGCCACATTGGGAGCAGCGGATGCAATAGGCCACAGATGTGCAGGTGAACCCCTGTCTGATATGGAAGGCTTGTTTGGGCCTTGGATGGGAGATGAGGGGGGAGTTGTTGGGGCAGGTGTAGCACTTTCTGCGGTTGCAGGGAAAGGTGCTGGGGGTGGTGGAGTTAGTGGGGAGTGTGGAGCAGACAAGGGAGTCGCAGAGAGTGTGGTCCCTACAAAGGGCAAATAGGGGTGGGGAGGGAAATATCTCTTTAGCTGTGAGGATTGTAGGAGGAAATGGTGGAAGATGTTATGCTGGATGCGGAGGTTGGTGGGGTGATACATGAGGACGAGGGGGATTCTGTCTTTTTTTTTGGGGGAGGGTTTTAAAGGCAGAAGTGTGGGAAATGCAAGAGATGTGGTTGAGGGCATTTTTGATCACGTGGGGAGGGGGTCGGTGGGTGTTGTAGTCCTTGAAATAGGAGGATGTCTGGGAGTGGAGGCAGAGGAGTTGGGAGTAGGGGATTGCATTCTTGCAGGAAGGTGGGTGAGAGGAGGCATTGTCTAGGTAGCTGTGGGAGTCGCTGGGTTTGAAATAGATGTCGGTGCTGAGACGGTTACCAGAGACAGACCGAGTACTCCAGGAAGGGGAGGGACATATTGGAGATGGTCTAAGTGAATTTGAGGTTGGGATGAAAGGTGTTGGTAAAGTTGATGAACGTTTTGGCTGAAGTGACCCTTCTGCAGACCTCTCAGAACTGGGGGTTCTGAGGAAGGGTCTCTCGTCCCAAAACATTAACTTTGGTTTCCCTCCGCAAATGTTGCCAGTCCTGCTGATCTGTAACTCAACTAAATCTGGTTTTGACTGGTCATGGTGCCTGAAATAACTCCCCAGAGGCTGGCATGCTGTCACGGAGTCGGTGTTTAATTCCGTGTGGAGAGTCCTTGACACTGCTGCAGCCCCCTCAGTGAACAGAACCTCTGAAACTCCTGTTTGTGTGTCAGCCAGGGCTCCCTAATTGGAGCAGATTAGCATCCTCAATCAGGGAACTCCTATTCTACAGTCCACCTGTCTGATCTTATTACAATCACTACAATAGCTAATTTCCTTCTGACTCTGTTTGCAATGTATGCTGGACTCTTAATGCAGCTGCCACCTGCATTTAAAACCTCCTTGGGACCTCACAGGAAGGTTGTCCCAATAGAATTTGGTCCCGAGACGCGAGTGACAGCTTGCAGAAGAGGTTCTTTTTATTTTTGAAACAGCGTCTTGGCTGGGGTGGAGCTAGCGAGCGAGAGAAACACCTGAGGGGTTTATGGAGGGTATTTCAGAGGTCGGGGGGGGGACTCCGGATGGTTGGAAGGCACAACCGCTGATGGTGGAGTGAGGGGGATGTGCCCAAGAGAGAGACAGCAATGTGAGAATCTCTGGAAAAGTTAGTAGATCACGGGATGGATTTGGAAATGAGGATGGGTAATTGTGCTGAAAACATTCAGGTGACCTTTTGGGCTAGCAATGGAGTTAATATTTCAGGTTAGTAATTTTTTTGTGTGTGTTATTCTGAACAAGTTAACGATGAGAGATCCTACATGTTGACAATTTGCCAATTGTCCTGATTTCTGTTTTAATGGTAAGGAGCCCGAGTCTGCAAAGGAACCTCGCTCTGGCTGTGTTAGAGATGATTAGTTATGGTGATCTAGAGGTAAGCACTCCACAAGTGTGGAGCCAGGACTTGTGAACGATCCCAGCCAACACAGGGTTTATTTCTGCGACACGCTGGAATACCATAACCAGCTCAGCTGACCCACCCCATCCTCCCTTGTCTACCCCATCTTACAACAACAATCCCAAAATGCATTGAAAGGTAAAAAAATCACGTTTAGACCTGAACAGCACAGATTAAACCACAGCATTTTCTTCAAAATCAAATTGAAACCATTTAATTATCTCTCATGATATAACTGGCCTTTTTAAAAATCTCAAATGCAAGTTTGGCAGAAGTGCTGCTCCACCAGAGTCCCTGAGAGCAGATCTGGGCACTCTGGTGATCACCAGAATGAGGCATGTACTTGTGAGAAGTGAATTGAAAGGGATTACAACAAAACACTGGGTTTGTATTTCCTCAAATGCAGCAAGTTAATTGACTGCAAGCTATTGAGATGACCAACAGAAATAATTTCATTTTTCTGATGAAGGGTCTAGGCCTGAAACGTCAGCCTTCCTGCTCCTCTGATGCTGCTTGGCCTGCTGTGTTCATCCAGCTCTACACCTTGTTATCTCAGAAATAATTTCTCACTGCTCAGGGAATTTTACACTTTGCTCAGCCTTTGCCTCAAAAGCCCTGGTAGAGACTGAAATGAGGAAACTTCTAAATATGTGGCCAGGGAAGTCTGGAATCTTTGCAGGCCTTAAAGATGTTCATCCATACTCATTATTTTAATAGAGTTTTTGATATTAACTGAAAAAACTGGGATGCTGTAATCAGAAACAAGTTGCTGAAAAAGCTCAGCAGGTCTGGCAGCATCTGTGAAGAGAAAATCAGAGTTAATGTTTCGGGTCCGGAGGGTCAACTTCTATTTTTGTGTCTCGAGTTAATGGTACGTGTCTTTTCCCTAGGATGGAGGATTTCAAGACCAGGGGACGCGTTTTTTTAAGGTGAGAGGAGAGAGATTTTAAAAAAGATACGAGGGGCAAATTATTTACAGGGTGGTTCGCATTTTGAAATGAACTTCCTGAGGAAGTGGTAGATGTGGGCAGTGCTATAACGTTTAAAAGACATTTGGATAAGTACACGAACAGGAATGTTTTGGAGGGATATGGGCCAAGCACACGCAGGTGGGACTGGTTTGGTTTGGGATTATGGTCAGCATAGACTGGTGGGACTGAAGGGTCTCTGGCTATGACCAGTTCAGTCCCATCCAAAATAGGTGACAAACAAAACTTTTCAGTGACCCATCCTATTGGCTATCTGGTGCCATCTGGTGAAACATTTAACGCTCCTGCAAGACTGCTCATCGCTGGTCTTAAAATGCAGGACCTGACTCTTGTGCCAAGCTCTCGTGACTCCTTCCAACTGAAAGAAGCAAAAGGACTCTTTCCAAATTCATGAAAACTCGTACCTTTTGCAACTTAACTGGGATGACTGTGACAATAATCGTGTCTCACTGTTCCTCAAGCTATCAACAAATGTTTAAATTCCTGATGAGGTCAGTTTGCCTGACTGCTGTTCAGGATGGAAAGAACTCACACCAGGTTTCTTTAGTAATAGCAAAATGTAACACACTTGTGCCACTTAAACAATGTCCCTTCCAAAACCCCAAACACGCCATCACAGTTAAGACAGATGGTTTTAACACATGTATGATGGAGGAGGAAGAATGTAGACAGACTACAAATTTTGAAGATCAGCAGTCCAGTCTGTAAAATCCAATGTTATCCCACAGTCCTTACTTTAGCAACATGGCCTGCTGTTGTCTGTAGGATGGCCGTCGCTCTTCAAGTTAATTGTTTATCAAGCGGACTGAGCTCTTTTGCTCGAATTCTTTTAAGCTCTTTTTGTTTAC